GGAGGAAGAATGAAACAATAGTTGCGCAACGTTGAATTATGTGCAGAGGTTGTGCAATATTGGACTGTTGCGTAATTACGAAACAAGAAAGAAAGGAAGGAAAGAGATGTTCTTACGACACACTGAGATGGGTCGTAACAGTTTGTACAATAAAAGTTAAATTTAAATACCTCGGAAGTAAATGTGCGACATTTATACTACATATATGGGAAAAAACCAACTTTACGTCCAATGAAAAATGCTTTGAACGTCTTCAAAATTTCGTCGAACAATATCAGTGTTTATCTATGCATACATGCTTCATATTTAATTTCAAATGATTCATCGAAATGATTGGTAGTTAGCTCAGGCCATTTCGCAACTGACTTTCACAATTACATGAAAAATGCTGATTCATAACTGCAAAAAATCCCGGTGTACAATAACTAATCCAATTATTTACAGATTTCCTGCAAAAGTACAAACTTATTTGTATTAGTAATTGATCGGATGAAAATATAAAGTTGACATTTGGTAAAAAATCGAAAGTGCACCTATTCAAAATTCAAATGGTGTCAAATATACTTCATAGATGGGCTATTTAATGGTATAAAATGTTTTGTTCCAAGTGCTAAAATTTTTGAAAAAATGTATCAGCAAAAAGTAGCCTTTATACTACTGATCTCCAGAAAAAACGTTTTTTTATAGAATTAAATATACTTAAAATTTAAAGTCTATATATATTCTGTATTTAGGCACTTTCATCTACTTAGAAAAAGACAAGTTTTTTCGACCAGGTCCTACGATCCACAAAAAAAAAATTTATTTATCAAACTAACTCTGTTTCCCAGCAAGAACTTCAAATGTAATGAGATATCCCACGACATTCCACTTTGAACATGACCCAGAATTATACCAAAATGTTCGCCGATATATACTGCATCTATACAGATAGCGGAAATTAGCGAAAAAAATCTTGAACTGAGCTATAGATTCCAAAAAACCTTGGATTTTGAGGTAAAATTTGTTTTGTTCAATTCAGGAACACTTGTACTAAAAAAATCATAGTACATTCGGGAACAGCAGACAAAACTTCATCGAATGATGTATAATTTGTTACCTTGTCAAATAAAAAAGTTTTCTGCAAAAGTTTGTGGCAAGGGACGGATTTTTCATCAAAACAAAATCTGTTTTTGAAATTGATTTTTTTTAATTCTATTAGCATTTATGATGTAACAAAATAATATTGAGCAAAAATAACCACTTTTTAAGTTAAAAAATCACATGTCCGCCTGCTCTGTGGAAAGGTGCTCACTGTGCAGTCGACTAGGAACCTATAAACTTTTGGATCTCGAATATCTCTCTAATTGTAATTGGCCATAAAAAAATGAAAAGAAGAAACGAATCTGGTTTAATTCTTATTCAAACTTAAAACTTTCATCCAATGAATTGGTACCCTACACAGTGTGCATCCAGACCGGCTTTTGATGAAAAAATGAAAGTTGATTTTTCAGTAATTTTAAGGATGATTAATATACCTTGAAACATGCTCTATTTAATGGCAAAAGTTTTTATATCCTAGAACTTATTTAAGCTGGGAAAATCCTATACATAAAAATACACTACAGAACCCGTGCCCATCGGAAAATCGGATTATACGCAAAAATTTTAAAAAATCAAACATAGCTATTGGACAAACAAACATATATTCGGAATCAGCATCAAGTGCGCTATCGATTGGTAAAAACTTTTCTATTCTTGGGCTTTCTAAGTTGGAGAAAAAAAATAAAACATTTTTCTAGCGTATTTTCCCAGGAGGTGTGTTTGATGCAATGCGTGCGTGAACTTTAGCGAAGCTCCAATTTTCATGAAATTTTCAGGGAATGCTGTCTTATATATGACATGTCAACACAGTTAGCGCCAATTAGCACCAACGCTTCTGGACCGAATGGTAGGTTTTCCAAAAACGTCCTAAAAGCCTTGATTTTCACGCTCGATTCCTCTTTTTCAGACACCAAAGCATTTCCATTGAAAACTAATGGCACATTCGGAATCAGCGCGTGAAACTGTAGCGAATGATGTATGACACAATATATTTTTTAAGAAAAATATTTTCTCAAAAAAATGTAGGTGAGATGTTTTTCGTCGAAAAAACTTTTTTTTCAAAAAGTGCCTTTTTTTCTTAAAGATGGTTTTTGAAGTGATATACAGCCACTTTTGAGCAAAAGAAACCTGTTTTTGAGCACGAAATTTACATGACCGCCTGCTGTGCAAAAAATGCACACTGTGCCACTGGGTCCAATAATTTTTGGCATCAGAGAATAACGACTGAATGTTTTTAAAATGGTTAGCTCTATTCTTGCGAACTGATGCTATAACCTTATTTCTTAACTTTTTAATCGCTTTTTGTATGGTCGACCATACAAAAAGTCATAGTGATGTGTCGAGATAAAAAATTTATTCCCGATCAATGAGATACCGCTAAAGGCTATTTCAGGATATACTCAGCTTCAGTAGAGCTACAAACTGGCAAAATTAGAATTAAATTTTAAAAAAGAAATTGAGCAAGCTCTAGTGCATTAGGTCGTCTCATTCATGCGATGACTCATAGTATAAAGCTGAAAGGTAATTGAATTGAATTAGAACAACAAGGAACGGGAACTGAATTTCTTGAAATTAAGTAAGGGGCAATGATAAAATACATTTTTCTTACACGAAAATATGAAATATAATTCCAACACACTGTTTGAATTTAACGAACACTACTAGTTTTTGCTTTTTTTGTGTTATGTGTATGCATCATGACATATTTCTTCCATAACTTATCAAAGCTGCAGAAGAAACGAACAGAAACGTGTAACGTTTTATTTTTTCTCTTTATTTTGTTGTTGTTATTACCTTTATATTACACAAGAATCGAATTTCTTATAGATTGCGAAAGAAAAAATGTGAACAATAAATAAAGTAGACATCATTATTTAATCAAAAAAGAAAATTTCGTACGTGATGGATTTCGAAGAATTGTTCGAGGATGACGATTATAATATAATTTCAAATCCCATTGGTCAAACATTCTATGAAGATAGTCGTGATGGTCATACGATCAATGTCCAAAGTTATCTTGAAATATTACCCTCATGCGATACTGATAGATACATTAATACATTGTATGATGATGATGATGGTATGAAATGTACTCCATTGATGATAGCTTGTAAGCTAGGTTATTATGAAATTGTACAACTCTTTCTTGTCTTATGTGAACCAAAATTAGAAATAGAAGGTACAATTATATTAAATAATTATCGGACGGAAGGTGTTACAGCCTTATGGATAGCATCAGGTGCCGGTCATTTTCTGATTGTACAATTACTTGTTGAATATGGTGCCAATGTTAATCATCTAACATCCAGTACACATTCAACACCATTAAGAGCAGCTTGTTACATAGGTCATATGGAAATAATTCGATATTTAATTGAACGTGGTGGTGCTGATCAACACATGTTAAATATTTCCAATAATAGCAATTTATCGTTAGCCGTCTCTCGTGGTCATACGGAATTAGTTGAATATTTATTAAAATTACAATGTAATCCAAATATACAAACCGAACCAGATCAGAAAACAGCATTACATGAGGCATGTGAAGATGGACATTTGAATTATGTTCAGTTATTATTAGAATATAATGCACAAAGTTTAAAAGATGTAGACGGACAAACACCATTAATGATAGCATCGTTAAATCAACACCCTGATATTGTACATTATTTTATTGAGCATAATTATTGTACAGATCAAGAGTCGATTGATGCTCTCGAACTACTCGGTTCTTCGTATTATTGTCAGCAATCAGCAAACGCTCAAGAAGGTTTTCAATATTTATTAAAAGCTGTGAAATTACGTGAAGAATATCAATTAACAAGAGTACCATGTGATCACTTTTCAATTGATAATTACAATAAATGTCAAACAGAAGATGAATTACATCATATACGTCATACGATGGAATTAATGCAACTGGAATCATTAACAATTTATCGAAAACAGTTAGGTGAAAAATCAAAAACATTTCTGTATGCTCTACGGTATTGTGGTGGAATATGCGCCGATGAAGAAAACTATAAGTCATGTTTAAAGCTGTGGTTCTATGGACTGCAATTAAATAAGCTAACAAATTTTGTAGTATCAAGAGATACAGATTTGTTACGTCTTTTTGCTACTGTTCTAGTTGAATTAGATCGAAACCAACTTAACGAAATTCTGTACCAAAACGATATGCTAAAAGACGTACTCTTATTAGCTATCGCCGAGTTACAATATAATAGGAAATTAATTGCGACTAGTAATGGTGATCAACGGGTAGTGGAACAAGAAAAATTTGATTATAATTTATATACAATGTTGTGTTTAATAACAATCCTATCAAAATTTGAAGACGATCTAGATAGAAAACAATTTTATCCATTGATATATAAATTAAACTACTTGAATTTTAAAATGAAAGATAATACAACTCTATTACATTTAGCTGTTAATAGACAGTCAGCGATTAATGGATATAGTTTAGGACAAAGTTATAAGTAAGCATGTTTTCGGTCCTCTCGTTATATTTATTCATTATAGGCTGTGCACGACAGATAACACCTCGATTAGTGGAAAACAGCTACCATCTACCATACTTCGTAATGTCGAAGGCTAACTTTTTCTATGCTTGCATCCCAAAAATGCTTAAAAGCAGATATTTAAGAATATCAAACAGGAATTCATTCATTGTTCGATATAGGCATGCAACGGTTACGTCAAGAACCGCTTCATAACTGGTTAGTATATATTTGGTTTTTAGCTCTTTGACGTTTGTTTACATTAGAAGTAGACAAGGATGGTCTTTGCCCTGACGTTTTAGTACATCTGCTATAGTGTGACACGGATGCACTTCAAACCTGTGTGGTACTCAAATTCATTGAATGAAATACTGCAATTCATGCCGAAAAGGTCAAAGATTTTGTTTAAAAAAAGTCAAATTACTCCGACAAACAGCGGTTGATGAGTTATTCGCCAACGCCGACACTTAACAGCCGTTTATGTGTAACGTAGCGTAGACTGTCACTATAGCAGATGTATTAAAGTGTCAGAGGAAAGACCATCCTTGTCTATTCCTAATGTAAACAAACATCAAAGAGCTAAAAATCAGATATACACTAAGCGGTTATAAAGCGATTATTTACGTTACGGTTATGATCGGTTACAGTTAACCGTAACTGTTGCATGCCTAAGTTCGATATGAACAGATGAAACAAATATTTCCCACAACAATGGAATTTCCGTTATTCTGGGCATATAATTAAATGTAGTGCACAAATTCAGTCACCGGCATATTTCTGTTACTTTTTGCCTTTTTGCGTTCTTGGGTGCCGCTGCATATCTCGAAAGCAAAGTCGATTCATCCTGTGAAACTTTCACTCTGCTACTACCAACGTTGTTAAATCCTAACGTCAACAATACTAAACGTTGTAATTCCATGATTCTGACCTTTTTCTGTCAGGTCTTAGTTCTTAGAAGTTAGACCACACAAAGGTCTGAGAAAACCAAAGCTGTATTTGTTGGCAAGTGACAATACTTCACTTACTAGATCTTTCTCCCTGTTCTTGCCATACATATTTTCTTTCATGTGAATTTCACGTGCCACAAATGTATCATATCTGTCCTCTGTTTCATAAATGTATTCTTTATCTATCTTAGATTATACATGTCAACTCTTCCACGTCAATCTAGAATTTTTTCTATGCATCTTGTTTTAGGAAAAGTATATAAAGAAAAAGCTCTTCTCTGACACACACCAGGTTTTTAATCTTTTAAGAACGAAGATACAAAGCATAACCGTCATATCGTCGTGGCAAGCGAGCGGAAAGGAATAGTGTACTCCTTTCACCGTCTACAAGTTAGATAACTTTGTATGGAGAATTTAAAAATCGTAGAAAAGGTTTTTTCTCAATGTGATTGCTTTACTCGGCGCCTTCGTAAAACGTCTTTAAGGGCCCCCCCTCTCAGAAATTATCTCCGGCACCTCACATCCGATCTTGACGAAACTTTCCGTAAATGTTCGGCACAATGAGTTACGGGAATGAAAAGTTTTTTTGTTTCCAAGTCTTACGGTTCAGGAGTTTTCCAGAGATCAAGGTCCAAAAAGGATCCTGAACGGCGTCCCAAGATTTTTTAATATACTTCAAGCTGGAGGGTTCGGGTTTGCTTTATTTTAAAGTAGACACCTAACTACATCGACTGACCGGCGCTGATTTTTCAATTAAGCCTTTATTCGTTTTCCAGGCAACCAATAACCTGCAAAACCCGAAAAAGCCTTCCGGATTTTTTAAAAATCCTCAGTTTGACAAAAAACTAAGACCTAATTCAAAAATCGACGCCGGTTAGTCGATGTAGTTTCTTTTCCTCTTTTAAACAAAAAAAGAATGAACTCACTACGACAAACCGCTATTAAAAATCTTGGGACGCACTTCAGGTGTAACTCTTATACAGCGAAGACGCTATGTTAAACGCTGTATGAAATA